ATAGGAATCAAAACCCCTTTTCTCTCAATCTCATCCTTAAACATTTTTCCAAGACCTGTCCTATTTACTTTTTGCAATTGCTAGAGACTTACAAATCTGATTGATGAGAAGACTAAACTCAGTGTAAGGGTGTACATGCAAGCTTGTTCATGTTCCAAGAAGGAAAAGGGTGATGTCCTCATCAGAGCAGAAAGTGCTTGAGAGGCAGCTGATGAACGTGAGAAGGAATTTACAATTGTTTAGTCTTTGTACCCTACCACAGTTCCTCCAGCATCGTATCTTTTAATTGTCCTCTTTTTTTCAAGGCCCTACAGACACATATTACTCCTCTATTGTGGAAAAAACCAAATGGTACCTAAATGCATCACCCCAAAAGCTGAGGACTGAGAAGGCAAATGAAGGGGGTTCATCACAGTATAGATGCTGAACTCTGCCACCTCCTACCTCTCTGGAGTGGGAACATACCACTAGCATCCACCAGCTCTCACTGTTACGCCAATTCACAAGTGTAACTTCTTTTCAGAGGGAAACAACGGGCTAAAATGAGGGGGAAGGGGAAGCACCACCACACTTCCTCAAATATCCATCCAAGCACAGGTCCTGCCTGCATGCCGTACAGGCTGCACAAAATCTATAACCTGAATTGAGTGACTGATCCAGCTCTGCTAGAAGAAAAGTTTTGTTTCTCATCTACTCCGCTTTGCTGTTAAAGATGGGGAAAGTATTCACAATGGCAAACTTAGAAAGCAGAACGGCATACTTATTGAAGTAAACAGAACAAAAAGTCTAAGGTCTAGATTTGTTCACAGTGCAGAAATGTACAGAGAGTCTGTAAAAACTAGGAGGGGAAAAAGAAAAAAAACCCAACATGTCCTGTTACTTTAACAACTACAAAATAATAATTTAAGATTTCCAGAGTTCTATTTACTCTGTAGGATGATGAGTATGTATTACAATCTCAGTTTCAAATGCAGTCAGACCCCATTTTGATTTTGAAAAAACGGCTGCAGAAAAAGTAGTTGAAAATATTTCCATTGCTATATTCCCCTTTTAAAGCATCTAGAAGTTACGGGAAATGAATTAAAAGGAAACAGAATTAAATTAGCATAGTAACATTTCAATATTATCTATCTTTTGTCAAAAGTATTACATTAGCAGGTTTAACAAAACAGCACATTTATCAGTTATTTTTTGTCTTGCATTGGCAGACAACATCCTGTAACAAAATTCTTCAAATACACGTATAAGGAAGGGAAAAAAAAAATACACATAGTATTGAATTCTCACAAGGAATCTATACATAGCATTCATCGTGAAAAAGAAGAGGCCCCCCAAGAAGTCCTTAATGGTTAAGAATAAAATCATAGATGAAATAAAAAGAAGGAAAACCAAGAAAAGGGCAAATCCTTCCATAGGACAAACTGTAATTAAATAACGGAATCTAATGAAATCTGTGGAATGGATTTACAGAAAAAAATTGGGTAACTATTGAGTTACAGCACTGGGGAAGAATAGTTTATTTATCCTAACAATTTTCAAGCATAAATGTTAACTACAGATCACATGTAAAAATTAATAATAAACACTCTATATAGTAATGCACCTTACTGCACCTTCCTAGTGAAGGGGCATAACAAAAACTCTTCAAGAACACACCTTTAGTTCTCACATTTCTCTGTGGAGATATTCGGCAACAATGATGTGACATTTCTGAAGCCCTCAGACCTTTTCTATAGCCTTCATTACTTTTTTTTTTTTTTTTATATGGCTCCTGTAGTTATAGAAAATGGTCACAGTTGTTTAGAAAAGTCTGGACTAGATGGCCTAAGGAATTATTGCTATTAACGGTGAGAAAGAATGTGCAAGTGCATGCCTATGTGAATAATTATTAAATAAATTACCAAAGGAAACATACTAAGTAAATGCACCACTTTTGGGGATCAGTCTTTGTTTGCAAATCAAAATCATAATTAGTAGCACAGATTATCAGGATTGTTAATTTGTGCTCCCTCTACTGGTTAATTAACCCTAGAGCCATAAAAATAATAATAGTCTAAAAAAATACCCAGATTGTTGTGTTGCAACTCAACAGCCCAAAAAATCTGAAACCAAATTATATTATTAAAGAAAACCCTTATATACAGCCAATATCTTATGCACCATTTCTAAATGTCACCTTAGCTTGTTAAAATGTCAGAATGGAAGCAAAAGGATCTTGCAGCTCAAAAAGATGTTTCATTATCATACCAGCCTGTTTTGTGTGCCTAGTTCATAGAAATTCCCTCAGATTTAGAAATGCAATTAAACATTTCACATTCTGAATCATTGTAAGAAGCCGCTGTTAACTGGATTTTTAATTGAAAGCTCCTTTTTTCCTCCTCCTCATACAAAACACCATCAGCATCCGAGCTGCAAAGCAGCCTAGATCACAGGACAACTTGGGCTGGAAGGCAGCATTTGGCAGCCCACCTGATCCAGCCCCCTGCTCACAGTGAGGCTAACTCCACACTTCCATCAGGATGCTCAGGGACTTGTCCCATTGACTCATGAGTATCTCCAAGGCTGGCAACTTTGCAAACTCTCCAGGTAACTCATTCCCATACTTAATCTCCCCCACAGTGAAGAACTATTCATGGCATATGTAAAATATTTGTTAGATCCAAATCAAGCATAATTCAAAGTCTGAGTATAAGCAAACAGCAAATTTGTAACAAAACACAGGAAAAAACGGTTTACCAAAAATTATGTGATCTGATCACAATTACTAGTATTCACAAGAAGCACATTTCCTGGGCAATGCAAATGTCACTAGCAGCTTGAATCACCGGAAAGAACCGAAGACCACCTTACTTTTGAATTTTGATGGTATAATACCTATGGGACTCTTCATTTCATCTGAAGCTGACAAAATATACTCTATAAATATTTATACAGCCTATATCAGATCATCTGACTCTTTTTAAAAAATTTCATGAAGCACAAATAACATTCATATATCCACAGGTTTTCTGATTACCTCTCCTGGAGAGATCATTTAAATACTAATTTTAAATGTCACCTGCTGACAAAGAACTGCTTAAATGATCTTTAAGTGGAGTGAGTTGTAGTAAACATTAATGTACTAGTACAATTACTTTTAGTTAGCAAAAGTGGAAATAATGGCCAATTTCATCTACCTTGCTCAGTATGGGTTTTTTTTACTAATAGCCTTTAGTTTTGCAGATGAGCAAGACAAACTTCTATTGTTACATACAGATTAGAAATGTAAACACTAACACTTCCCGCAACGACTGACTTCAGAATTGATTCCAAGTATTATCTCAAAAAAGCAATATGCTAGTGTGACAAAGAGCACTACTGCCCCCTAATGAGCCAGCCCAGCTCTGTAACAGTTTTGTCTTTCCTAAAAAAAAATCAAGTTGTTATAACCATGAATTATTTAAAAAAAAAAAAAAGTTTAATGAGAAATGAAGACAATCATTAAGACCATCTATGCTAAATTCATACCAAATTTCTCCATGAAAGGCAAACACATAAGTTTGGGGAGAAAAAAAAAGAATTATCTAGTATCTAGGATTTTCATGTAACTTAATACTCAGTGCACAAAGGGATCATGAAGATGCAAAATACAGCACAAAAATTATGTTCCAACATTTCTGTCAGTGTATAAGCAGATATTAGCCTATCTTAAACCTATTCTATACTGATGTAATCATTCAGAAAAAAACCTGTAGTTACCTTCACACCGACCCAGATTTTTAAATTTTAGTGTCTGTAGTGTGAGAACAGCAGTATGTTTTTCTTGTTGCACTGTTCTGTCTAAATGCCAGTTACAAGTCTATTCTAGGCTTATAATTATTGCAAAATAATTCTGATCTTGGTATCTAATTATACCAACAAAAAGAAACAAAGAGGAAACAATCCAAAAGAAATCCACTTGCTGAATTCTGCTTGTAAAGGAAACAGATGAACTTCCTGTGTCACATGCAAGTGACATTTTTTCCTCTTTTTTTTTTTAATGATTTTTCCATGGTATTGAATCTGTATGCAGTGCTGCCCAGTGTAGCTTGGACATAAAATATTGCCTGGTTCCTGTATTTGCGTTTTAAAAATACAGATTACAGTGAACTGCTGAAAAAAAAATACAACTGCTGCAAGTCCTGGTGAGAAGCACAAACACAAGCTGTGTATTCTCTTCTGTTCTACCATAAATCAGAAATTCCACTCACATTAGTAAAATTACTGTGATTTAAATGCAATGCTGAAGCAGAACTGAGTTCTGATTTTTTCCCCTCAAATCTTCTATACTGACTTTTTCATAGATAAACATACTTCTATGGTGTTTGTCAAAAAAGACTCTAATTTCCTTTAGGAAGATAAGGTTAAAAGCAATTCAAGTGTTTAATTTAAAACATGCTAGCTAACAAAAGATACAGATTTTATGAATAAAAAAATATGTTCATTAGTGGGTTTTGGCACTGAAACACCACCAGTCACTAAAATCCTTGAACATATGACTTTACCTTAAAACCTCCAAATACTGGCCTTCTGTGGCCTCACATACTATGTCATCATTTGTATAAATACATCATTAGCACAGAAAGGCCACATGTGATGAGTAATTCCTTACGTAACTACACACGGTAGAAGGCTGCAAGCTACTAGACATTAGAAGTGTAAGAAGTACCAATCACATGCTATGTGATAAAAATAGACTATCTACAAAGATTAATTTTAGAGACCTAAAATAACCATATTCCATATTTCTCTATTATGTTACAGCCCAAAGAGCTGGTAACACAGCTCTCAGTCTACCTAGTATTTATGCTATTACATCAGTACTTCACAATTCCAAGTGCTTACTGTAATTTTATGAAATATAAGAATGAAAACACTGGTGAGACTAACAACAATCAAGAGTTCCAACTGATACCTCAGAACTTTGAACATAAGGCCATCATGACAACTGATTCCAACTCTGCCAGGCATGCATTTCTTACCTTGGAATCTTCATTGCTCACTCCCAGCTCTAGCACAGCTCGAGGAGACTTCAGCTTTGCTTGCATGGACTCTGCCATTTGAAGATTAAGCTGCCATCCAATTGTTTCAAGCTATAAAACACAAATTTAGATTACAATCAGATGGTACAGAAGCACTCAGGGCAATTTCCAATATTGTGAATGGTCTGTGTCAGTGAACACGATGTCAGGCTCTGCAAACGTTAAGCATTTTTATACAGTGCACATTCTGCAAATTCTCCTGGACTCCAAGACAGATTTGCTTCTCTCTCTTGCCAAATTTATCGGTTCAAGATGCCTGTGACCACCCAAAATAAAGTGACTTCATATGCCTCAGATCTGCTGAAACCAATCCATAAAACACAACTAAGGATCCAAAACAAGGTCCCCATCCTTGTGGAAGTTCATCAGCAAAGTTGCAGATGCAATTTTATTTGTATTTATTTTTCTTTTAGGAAAAAGGAGAAAATTACCAATAAATGGTAAACCAGCTAAAAATGGTAATTTCTTAATCAACAGATCTACTCATGTGTGTTCTACCATATACAGATGTTAATGACAAAAATAATTCTGTGCTGCTTTTTAAATGGTTACTACTGAAAAACCAAAAACCGGTTAAGCATGTGAGCAACAGAATTTTTAATAGAAAGCAACACAAAAATACATTTCAAATTGCTTTTTAATCATTAATCTGAAATGATATTCAAACATTATCAAGCTACACCTCACGCATAAATAAGTACTCAAGAACTGAACGACAAGTCTTTCACAAAATAACATACCTGGCCTTCTTGAATAAAGAAAAGTAGAAATATAAAGTCTTACCATCTGGCAAATTGATTTGCATACAAGTTATTTTTAATCTAGCATCTCCCTTTGCTAGTAAATATTGTGGCCGGCAATAAAAGTGAGAGCATGCCACATCTCAGTTAATCCCTTACCAGTCCAACAATTCACCTAAATCATCAACAGCACAAAGCCATCCCAGAGGCACTGTACTGTGAACAGCAGAGAAGCCCACACATGCCCTGCCTCCTACAGTGACAGTAATCTCTAGATGAAAGATAGGAGAGAAAGTGAGAAAGGCAGAAACATCTTCCATGGGCACAGCTCACAGACAGAACTTCCAAAATTTATTGCAGCCGTACCATTTACATTTACACATTGATGTGTGTTACAGTGCATTTCTTTGTATATTGCATCAATATTATACCAATTATGTAACAAACACTGAAAGCCATAAGGAAAATGACATACCTTACCCTATTAACCACCACTGCCAGTCCAAGATAGCTAGGGAGTTTAGCCAACGCCAAAGTTAATGGAAAGACACAAGACAGTCTCAGAATGACTTTGTGTACAGCTATAGAAACAAGACAGTAGGAAGACCTTCAGCAGGTCAGCCTGCAGTCTGTCAGCTGCTCTGCAATAAATGCCCCTATTCAGGCTTCATTTTGTGGTAAAAATAAGGAAGTTTACACATCAATCGAATCGATGAAAGCATGCATACAACACAAACGGACACAGTGAAAACACTGGAAATCTGCTCTAGCTCATATTGTGGTATACATAGCTTTAGTAACAGTATGCCCACAGCCTATGAACTAAAGATGCTTTAAAAGACAAGTTTTATAAATTCTAAAAGCAGATTAATTTTTAATCATAACCCTCTGTTTTGATTTCCTCTAACCTGATTACATCTTGGTTGATGAAAATAATAGGGCTTTGCCCATCCCACCCAAAAGTACAGCGCAATCTAAAGTGGATTCTGCGGATGTGCTCGAGTCAATCACACTAATGGACAAGGCTGCTAAGCCCCTGTGCTGGCCAGTATCTGCAATCTTCCAGCAAATTATACCAGAATGACACAGCTGGAAAATATTTTTCTCTCCACAAACTTCAATAAAACTAAGTAAAGAAGTTAACTCTTGTTCTCTCAGGAGCATAAAGATCTTAGCATCTTGCCTTACTCTAGGTTTTAGATCAAGAAAGAAGTTCAGTTCAAGAACCCTATCAAAATTGATAACGGTCAAGAGAGAAGGACCCAAATGCTGACTTATGGGCTAGTCATGGGAGCAGCCCAAAGCAGGCAACAGGAAACAGTACCACTTATTTTGATAAAACACCTAATCACTAAGGTCAAACACAGAGACAGTGAGCAAGCTCTGGAATGTGATGGCTCTTCATATGGCAGTCACTAAGGTTCAAGCCCTGCACTGCTCAATTTAGAAAGGACTTTCTATCAGTTACGTAAACAGTTTATTACAGTAGTATGGAAACCAAGCCTTAGACAGGCTAGCAGCTTATCCAGGATTATAAAACAATGCCACTAGAGACAAGAACAATATCCTAGGAAGCCTGACTTTCAAGCCTTTTCTAAAGCTGTTAAATAGTGTACTGTATGTAGCATGAAAAACAAACGATCAAAAGTAAAGAAATTCAAATTTATGTCTTCTATTTCACTTTTAATACATATCTATGCAGGAATATCGTAGAGGGCTCAAAACAAATACAATATATGTGACAGTACAGTGGCTTGAGTTTATAGCTGAACAGCAGCCGTAACTTTTTCTATATTGCTTTACCTTAAAATTACTTTGTTTTCCGGTACAATTCATGTGTCTCTTCTGTTTTAAATATCGTTGTACGAGAACAGGTTTTGATTAACAGACAGCACGCTGCCTAAAGCTTCAAAATGGTCTGACTATTATTTTCTTGAAAGAAAAATGTAACATGCATTTGGCTATGGTCATGTTTACTTAGAAGACACTCAACGTCCCGAAATATCAATTAACCTTTTGAGAATGGTGGCATGTTTCTGCATTGCATTTGTGTCAAGACACAGTATTTGGTAGTGGTGGTACATATTTTAGGGCCAATTTTGTCAAAAATGAAAGGACTACAAAATTATTTTCACTTCTGATATAACATTTGTCATAGAAAACAAAACATTGGGAGAAACTATATGGTGCCAGAATCTGCAATATATTACCTGAAAAGCATTTACTGGGGAGTAATTTGTCCATGACCAGCAAGAAAATAAAGCCATGGGTTTAGTTACTGTAGACCTTTAGCTTCTTTTTACAATTTCTTATCAGCAGTTTAGAGATGTGCAAGCTACCTTGTTGCTGCAACAATAAACACCGTTGAAAATGTACTATTCAGCACTGTTAAGTTCTCACTGGTATCTCTAGCACTTATTTAACCTCAGGGTTATGTCTGGAAAACAAAAAACAGGTGCAAGCTGGAAAACAGGGAAAGGAAGAAACATAGATACGAAATAAAACCAATAGTAAGCATGTATGAAAATGCTTCAGATCTGCTCAATGAACCAGAGGCAAATGATTCAGGGCAACAAAGATATGAGGAAGCTTTCGACAACCCCTGTAATCTTCAGTTCCCGTGTCCATTTTGTTCCACTCAGGCCTCTGAAGAGGATGCTATGGCAGCCAGAACTAACAGGCATGGAAGAACCTATGCACTTCTCCCTTCCAGCGCTCACTTAGTACTAGCTGTAGAAAAAAAAAAAAAAGGTATCATACCTGCTAAACCAGCGCTGTGCCCCCTACAAAGGTAGTGCTTCTCAGTGGCCATCCACGTCTGTCCCAGGGCCACATCCACACTAGAGAGCTGCCAGGTCCCCTAATATGAGAGGATCTGACCCTTCCTCTGTCGATCACTAACACCTTTACAGGTACATAAATACACCCTCTCTGGATTGTCTACCTCGAAGTCTATGATATCCACAGTCCTTTTCCTCCAGTGGAAAACATGGGAGCTTCCAACTCATGCCCACTGCCCTGTCCACCGGACTCTTTCCATACTAAATAGTAGAGCATAGTATTTTACATATTAGAACAAGATCATCAGCAATATAACATAACCATGGTAAAATGCTTGGGTGAATGTCACCCTCTGCAAAAAGCCCATGTACACTAAATGCCAAGTCAGCTTTCACAGCTTATCTGATATGAACTTTAAGCACACTCTCCAACCAGATAAAGATTTCACATAGCCAGAATTAACCTCCACAGAATTCACCATTTCCCTCATCACTTACAGCCCATTATGTTTTTACATACTATTGTCTCTCTCACACATTTGCACCACAGTTCCTTACTTTCTCTTTTGACTGCCCATAAACATTACTACAAATTAACCCAAAACTGAGAAGAAATTCAAGAAATCAGACAAACATGACAGATTTCTTTATTAGTTGTCAAAAAATCACAATACTTCTCCCTTTTCAACTACATAAAGATATTTATCTTATACTCTTCAATGAGGAATCAAATAAATGTTTTTTGGAGAAGAAATTCAAGCTAAAAACATCAAGGAGAAACCAATCATCTTAGCTATACAAGAACCAGTCTATCAGACTCAAAAACAAAGGACTACGAATCTGAGAGCGAAGGCAGACTGGATATCCAGAACAGGCATGTTGTAGGGCTCCAACCTGAAGGACCAAGAACAGAGCCAAAGTGACTGAGCAACTCAGACTGAAAAAATGTTGGCAAGGACCTTAATCTGAGAAAAGAAAATAAGTGGGAATATTGTGGAAAAAAGCGAAAACTAAAAGTGGAAACAGAATTTCAGAAAACACATAAGCACCTAAAGCGTCTTCCCTAACACTTCCAACTTCAGCCATTTCAAACTGCTGGAAAAGGGTCCAGTATTTTTAAGGGAGGAGAGGGGAAAAAGGGGTTTAAATGCTCAGTCAGTACTGAAGCAGGGAAAGGTTGGGTTTTTTTTTTATTTTGGACTTGAGTGATATACTGAGATCACATCTCCTGTCTGTCTCTACACCCATGAAGACTGGAAACTTGTTCTAATTTTAAATGGAAAACTAGAATTTTCATATAAATTACCCAACTCTAGAAGGTGAAGCCTTCAGAAGGTCAACTAATACCGTAACAAATCATTACAGGAACTGTAGAAAATCAGTATTACTGCCCTCAGAACTCACTGATGTGGCACAAACAGCTTACTACTTACCACAGTGCAAGCAGGATGCCATAATACCATGCAAACCACTATCTGCCCTCCATGGGTAATCCATGATTTGGCACCTATTTGTCCCTCAGAAAGTGCTG